GTCCTGTCCCCACTGACCGTCCCTCTTCTGTCACCGCCCTCATGGAGTCCTGTCCCCACTGGCCGTCCCTCTTCTGTCACCACCCTCATGGAGCCCTATGCTTCTTTGGGATGGAAATGTGTGCACAGATAGAATAGGAAATGAATTTCCTGGGACCTTAAGTCCGTGGGTTTAAGTCCCTGGACTGAGCTGTGACTGTAATTCCTGATGGTTCACATTTTCACAACTACAAACCCTTTGAACTAGCTCATAACAGTGCACCGTGTAAAACCACCGCTGCGCTCGGGTTGACCTTCAGAGACTGTGGGTCTATACCCAAGTGGAGACAGCTTGTCTTTCTTCACGGGGCAGCTGGTGGACTTGAACCCCTTGTGTTTGAGTGAGTGGCCCCGCTTGTAAACTCGCTTTGACACCAGGACTCCTTGAGGAGAGAGGAGGCTCCTTTTGTGGTCAGTTCCCGAGCGGGGACAGGGCTGGCCTCAGTTCCTGCTGGCTCTGTCTTTCACAGTCCTTTGTGCTGGGAGGCTTAGTGGTCACCTGGAAATGGCCGGGAAAGGAAGGTAGCAGTGACCCTGCGTGCTCAGTCACAGGACGGCTTGTGGGCCTGTGGGCTCCCCTCCAGGCTTGCCTTCCGTTTGCCAACTCTTGACCGGCCGGCTGGATTTCAGCCTCTTCTGACTGCTGACGTCTCGTTCTCGGCCCTGAACGTGCGTGTCTGGGGCAGGCACGGTGGGGTCAGTGCAGGTGGGACGAGGGCCCTGTGGTCAGAGGCCCCTGGACTCGGCATGCGCTCGCTCACAGGACCCCGATTTAGCAGATAGTGTGTCTGAAGGTAAGTACCTGGCCATGGCGTTGCCCGGTGCCCGCGGGTGCCCGTCAGGCCCTCGCCCCAGCAGCCGCGTCACGGCACTGTTGCCGTCTCTTCAGTCGCACTGCTCGGCTAAGTAGTGGTGCCTCGACCACGGCTTAATCTGACTGTAGCCGCAGGACGGCCCAGACCACTGGCCTCTAAAGTCCGCCTTTGGGTCCGCTCGGGAGTGAGCTTCCCTTTGAGCCCGCCGTAAATGTCATGAGGCACGGAGAAGCCATCTCTCAGCCGCTCAGCGCACCATCTGCTAGAGCAGCTCGTGGGCCCGAGGTTACGAGGGAGTGCATATGGCCCTGGGGTCACCAGTGTCCTGTGGGACCACGCACATGCAAACCTGTTTGTCCCTTGAGCTGTCTCCAGGGCCATTGTCCCCTGTGTCAGGTCACATTGGTGACTAAGTCACGACACCCTGGTTACCTTTGTCACCCAGCTGGAGGAGAGGTCGTGAGGGGCTGCAAGGGTCCTCCTACGGCCCTCAAGAAGAAGTAGACAGTGGAGAGGTAATGATACCAGGATCTGAAACACAGCTGGCCCCTCCTTCCCTTTAGAAGAGCACCCCGAGTCCTGAGACTGACCTCAGGTAGGACACGGTGCTGGCTCTGCTGACAGGGATAGGGTGGCCCTGGACCGAGTGCCATGTGTGCTCTTGGACGTGAACAGCTCCCCCTCTCCCACGGTTGATCTCTGGAGGGTGGAATCTAAGAGTGGTCCTTTCCTTTCAGGTAATATTGCATCTCAAGTGCTAGTTCTTCCCCCCAGAGAGCTAGGAACAAAGTGCAAGACACTCCAAGTTGAAAAAGTAGTTACTGAGAACTCTGAATGCCATTGTGCCTCGGGGCTCCGCTGGGGCACTTCCTGTGTGGAGGAGGCCGCCCACAGGCTCTGGGGTTCCCGACTCGGGCTCTGTCCACGGTGTGCCGTGCACAGCCTGGCACTCGGCTAGTCTCATCACTTTCCTAGAGGGCTCGCGAAGTGTCAGCACCATGCTCCCCTCCCAGCACTCCCTCCTGGGTCTGCCCTTCCCAGAGCACCAGCCAGCCTTCTGCAGGTAGAATGACAGACGGTAGTTCTGACTGCCTAACTCGGTCTGGAGGGCCTCAGCTGCACACCTCCTGGTCTCTGAAGGGGGGCCCTCCAGCACGTGAACAGCCCTCCTCCACGCACGGCGGCAGGTGCAGCTATCACAGTCTGCATCCAGCCTGTCTCACTGAGCGTGTCCAGCAGCCCCGGGAGCGGACTGTACTGAATGACTGTGCACCCTTGCAATCAATGTTGCTGTGTTAAGGCCTTCTTTTTCTTTGTGATTCTTTTGTTCCATAGCGTCGTCCCCCAGACTACCGTAATACTCAACAATGACCGGCAGAGCGCTATTGTAGCCAAGATGGAAGACCCCTTGAGCAACAGGGCACCGGATTCCCTGGAAAATATCATTAGCAAGTCAGTAGCCACCTCACCAACCCCACCCTGCACTGTGACGGGCTCCCCAGGCACAGTGGGCGAGCTGGGACAGAGCCGGCCTGACGCCTGGCCTTGCCGTGGGGCTCCACGCATGTGACCTGGAGGCTGCGTCAGTGACCCCCAGTGTCGTGTTCTGGGGCGGCATGGTCTCTCATACTCCTGTGTCTGGCTCTCAGATGTGTTGCAGGGCGAGCGTGCTCATGTCCTTCCAGTGGGGTGAGGCAGTGCCTGTCCATGGCCGTCAGTGACTCAGCTGGCCTGGCACTGTAACCCACACCCCCATTTAGTTTGCTGAGGGACATGGGCCTTTGGGGTTTTGGGCTTTTCTCCCCACCCCTGGTAGAAGTGGGGGTGAGTGGACACGCCGCCTGTGTGGAGGTGACACAGAGCTGCTGGCGGCCTCCTTGTCACTTGAGTGAGTGGCTGTCCACCTCCTGCCCCTCCCTTTCCCACCACACCCCGAGAGGGCTTTATGCCTTCCTCCTGGTCTTCTCAGAGTCCTGGTTGGCCTCCTCTCCACCCAGTTTCCCGTTTTCTTGATTGTCTTGGCTTCCCTCAGAGACGTGAGGGAGGGTGAGGTGGGGTTTGGGAGACTTCCTGGTAGGTCTGTCAGCAGAGGCAAGACTGCTTGGTGGTGACAGCGTGTAGGTGGGAAGTGCTTTGCAGCACAGTGGCTGAGGGCAGCCCTTCAGAGGCCTCGTGTCCAGTGTGGACAGTCTGTGAAAGCTGCAGCTTGAGTCCAGTGTGACCGACACTTGAAGCAAATGGGGGATGAGCTTCCTTCCCCTCTCTCTGTGCCAGTGCCCAGATCAAGGGATGTCAGGAGGACCCTGACAAGGGCAGTTAGGAGAGCTTTCTGGAGATGCCTGTTGTGCTTTCTGGCTAGCCATGTTTGTAACTGTCTTGCAGTGGCTGTGGCAGTGAGAGTCCTGGTCACTGAGTGGCCGAGGCAGGCTGGGGGCTTCTCGTTGGTGGGACAGTCAGGGGAGGCCTGCATTCAGCTGTGCAGTGTGGTTCTGTAGGTGCACATGCCCCCTCTATCCAGACTCATGCCCCGCCTTGTGTCCAGGTGCATGTCCCCCTGTTCATGTCCTTGTCCCCTATGTCCTTTGATTTGTTCTTAAAATATGTGTCTTCTGCACTTGTCAGCGCCTACAGCCTCTGAGAGCAGAGACCACACTACAGACTTTGAGTCTCATGGGTTAGCATCTTATTTCTTGAGTGAAATAGACATTTTAAAAAACCTCTCAAGTTTTATACCATTTCCCCCAACCCCAGACTCTTCTGTTATGAGAGAGTGGGAGTGGAGTGTATGTCCAGGGGGCCCTGCATATCTGTGCTGAGGGATGGAGAGAGCGGGGAAGTATGAGTAGAGTATGAGTGTGCACAGTGACGAGAGGGTGTCGGGTGGGCTGTGCTGAGGTGAGGGCAGTGAGAGGTGGGCTGTGCTGAGGTGAGGACAGTGCCAGGTGGGTTTTGCTGAGGTGAGGACTGTGTCAGGTGGGCTGTGTGTAGGGAAGGGCCTTATGATGGTGGCGGATGGTGCTGTGGCTGGGCCGACCTGAGGCAGAGAAGGGGCAGTGGGAACGGGCTGTGCGGTGGCGTTGGACTCCTCTCTCACCACCAGCACCATGTGAGGCTGGCGCTCTCTTCCTTTCCAGTGCGGTGCCTGGGCGACGGCAGAACACCATTGTGGTGAAGGTACCTGGCCAGGAGGACAGCCACAATGAGGACGGGGAGAGCGGATCTGAGGCCAGCGACTCCGTGTCCAACTGTGGGCAGTCTGGCAGCCAGAACATCGGCAACAACGTTACGCTCATCACCCTGAACTCGGAAGGTGAGTATCACTGCTTGCCCTCCTCTGTCCTGGGCTTCTGGTTTTCACAGCCTGAAGAACATGAACAGCCACCTCGAGCCTGCCTCCCGGTGCTCCTGGGCCTCCCGTGTCATCCCTGCTGTGCTTATGGTTTTATAACCTTCTTTCTTCCACTGTGAGTGAAGACCCACGTTGAGGAAGGCAGGTTGCCTCACGCTGGGCCGCGTGTCAGGATCAAGCTCTCGGTGCCCGTCCCTGTCGAGCCTCCCCGTGCTGGGCCTTCTCACCTCTCCAGGGAGTGTTGACACAGAATGGCGAGGTGGCTGGTGGGGCTGGACTGAAGGTCATATTGGCCATTGAACAGTTGGCCCTTGGACAGCAGAGGTTGAAGTGGATTCTGTCCTGTTGCTGGGGCAGTGAACTTGCAGTGCAGTGTGTGTGTTCTGGAGAGATGGCCTGCTCACTTGGGGAGGATTGCCATCACGGGACGTTTTAAGTGACACTTGTCCAGAGGTCAGCTGTTAATTAGATAACGGATTTTTCAAGTGCAAGGGAAGTGCCCCAACCCCGGCTCCATTCAGTGCTCAAGGGTGAGACTCTTTTAGGTGAAAAAGCCGTTGTGTTTTTTAGGATGTAGCCATAAATGCAGTTATTCCTGTTATGCCTTCTGTCGCTTTAAAATCTCTAACTAAGGAACAAAACAGTAAAAAAAAGATTAATGTGAAATATATTTTAGTTTTGAAAACAACAGACTGACATTAAAATGACCGTGTAGAAGTGGCTAAAACTGGAGGAGGCTTACTCAGTGTTCCTAGGAAAAAGCCAAGTTCTTCAAGTACAAGAGAACAGACTTCCGGGAAGTGATCTGAGCAATCTTGTAACCGTGTTTAGGAAAAAGTATTTCTGTCACACTTGACTTTGTTGTGTAACATAGCTCACCAAACTGGGAGCAAATGAGAAAGCATTGCTCTTTTAATTTTTACTTTATTTTGTGGCGAGAAAAGTGGTAACTGGAGTGTCCTGTTTTATCATCCCACTGGGAGCAGACGTTAGTCAGCGTGTTTCCCTGACTTCTGTCCTTGGGGGCGTACTTCTCCGCAGGCAGTCCTGGCGTCTGCTGCACGCCTTACTTGACGCCACGGTTGGGAGATTACACGGAGACAGATGGAGTCGTCTTTAAGTGATCGCTGTCCGTGGAAATGGGGGGAAGTAGCTAATCCATTACCGTCGCTGCTGTCAGATTTGCTATCGACCCACACTGGCATCATCTGATAGATGTTCCTGTGAGATGGATGAGGCTCTGCCAGCCGGACCCCACGCTTCCCCAGCACGTCTCCCCTCGCTGAAGAGAGCGCCAAGCGAGCGTTACATTAGCAAGCGTGTCATTACTCGCAGACGTGCTCACGGCCGGGGCTTGTCGCACGTCTCCCAGTCAGCCTCACTCCTGATAAGAGCTGGGAGCTGCAGGCGGACAGCTCGGTCTTTGTCGGATCCTGAAGTGCTGGAAGTTTCCTCACTGCCTTCGTCAGGATCGTGCCTGGGCTGCCCGCCGTGACCGGACACTGTCCGTCACAGTGGGAGTCGCGTTACCGTCCACTGTGTGCTGGCTTCTCACGTGGCGTGACTGCCGTGTGAACAGGCTGACAGGAGGCGTCGGGTGCAGCTCTCAGGAAGTGCGTGCCTGCGTTTGCTCCTCCACCAACGGGCTGAGTTAGTGCTCAGACAAAGCATGGTGCCAGGCGCCGTCGAGGCCGTTTCCTCGCTGTGATCCTCGCGGAGGCCGAGCCACTGGCCTTTTCTGTAACCACAGAAGAGAAATGACTCCCAGGACGATCGGAGGTGGACGAGGCCCGCCACCTGCCCTCGTTCATTCTGCCTCAGCAAACCTGATGGACACAGTCTAGCTGCCCCAGAAGGGACACCGGCTCTAATCTTTAGGGGAGACTGCCCCATCTTTATCCTGTCGAGGCCCAGGGGGTCTGAAACTGCCAACCTTTAGGTCAGCTCAGCATTTAAGTGCCGTGTCGCCAGGGTGTCCGGGGGCGTGTGTGGGACTGAGAATGGATCGAGGGGGAGCTCTGTTGATTAAGGGTTGACGCGTGCACTGTGTGCAGGCCGCCGAGGTCTGACTGCACCTAACCTGCACCTGGAACAAAGCGCAGGCCGTTTGCCTGGGCCTCCTGCTGCGCTGAGTGTGTGCTGAGGTGTGAGGAGGAGCAGTCCCGTGGGCCTGCCCTGGAAGTGAGGGTTCTGGAACGTTCTGTGGGATGTCCTTGGTGCCGACTGCTCTGAAGTAAGATCAGTGAGTACCGAGTGTGCTCGCCAGCAGTCAGCCTTTAAGGAAGGACAATTCTGTGGAAGTAACTTCCTGAAAACTGATGGACATGGGGGACGTGGTCGACGTCCATAGGCTCTGAGCGCCTCACCCTCAGCTCTCGCTGCCCGAGGCCCTCAGAACCACTGCAGAGGGCAAGGCCGGGGCAGAAAGCCAGCCAGCCCCGCTGCTGTGGGGTCAGCTCGGGCTCACACGGCCCGCGTGCTGTCCAGAAGCACGCTGCCTCAGCCCGCTCCACAGAGAGGCCAGGGGGTTTGAACCGCTGTGCTTCCCATTAGCAGCCCAGGGCTTCATCGCAGTGTCACTAGGCCTCCTTACAGGGACTAACACAAGCCACAGTAATGAAGAGATTAAATCGTGTACGAAAGTACAAGTGGGTTCCTGAGCGCGCTGGTGTCTGTCCCACATCAGGAAGGATGGTGGTGACAGGGTCTTCAGAAGGCCAGTGTGAGGAGGTGTCTTTTGGCCTCGTGTGCCTCTCCAAAGGGGATTGGGACAGGCCCCCTCGGCTGCGCTCAGCGGTTAGCCGGCTTGTGGACCTGCTCTTCCACCAGCGTTGAGTTCCTGACCTCAAGTGGTCCAGTGGGTCGGACGTGGCCCTTCCACGGAAGAGGCTCTTGGGGCTCTCGCTGTGCTGGCGTGGGGACACTCGCTGAAGGACCGGCGTCTGGGAGGCCAGGCAGCGTGGAGGAGGACAGCTGCTGCAGACCAGATGTTTGCTTCACTGCTCAGGACTCTCCTGTGTGCTGTCACCATGAGCCACTGCTGTCCTGTCCACCCTGGTCACAGTGTCACGGCAGCATAGCACTCATCTTTCTCCTGTGCGCTGAGGGACGCTCACGGTCAAGTGCAAACCATCTGCACCAGCCAGGGTCTGCCAGGGCTTCGAGACCCCAAGTGGGGGTGCGCTGCGGGCACCATGTCCACCATGTCCAAAATGTAACCTCAGAGTTTGGTGCAGCGTGGGGAGGCCCAGCCACGAGGGGTCACTGGCGTCTATGTGGGGGTGCAGCCGGGCAGCCCCCAGGCCGACCTTGGACTTCTGTGGAGGGGCTCTGGTGGCAAAGCTTTTGGCTGCCTCCCATAAAGATCAGCGGTTCAAACTCACCCCAGCCCTCAGGAGACAGGTGAGGCGGTCTGTGCCATGGTCATGGTCGTGGAAGCCCGCGGGCAGTCCCCATCGTCCTGGCCTCGGTCCCGCCGAGTGCTGTCTATTGGACTGCAAGGCTGTGAATCTTTGCAGGAGGCGACGTCCTGCTTTCCTCCTTAGAGAGCCGCCAGTGGGTCTGACCCACTCAAGACGTTACACGTGCTTGCAGAGCTGGTCTTTACAAAAGCAAGGTGAAAATTAGTGTTGAGTGTGGATGGAAACAGCCTACTCCTTGCTCGTGACCGGGCACTTGCCCTCTGCACCCGTTCCTGGGTATGGCCGAGGGCTGAGCTGAGGGTCACGGTCCGTGCAGAGCTGGCTCTGTCCCCAGTGGTCTGTGCAGCGCCTCCCCTGTTCTGAGTTGTGAAGTCTTGCCTTCTCTGGGTCCCTCGCCTGCTGCCTGGAGTCTGAAATATCTTGGTCGTCATCTCTCCTGATGACCACATGGTGGAGACACTAGCCAGCTCTATGGGGGTGCCAGGGTACCCACAGCACCCAGGTGTCTACTCAGCGTGCGGCTGGAGGTGTGGCCTGCACTCTGAACGGCTCTTTGAGGGTAATGGGGCGGGATGCTGCAGGAAAACCTCAGAGGGCACTTGGCAGGAGCGGCGTGCGTGGTGGCTGGCAGTTCGTTCACCCAGTGGTCCGTCTGCCTGGACCCCCCTCCCGGGACCCCCAGTGATGTGCAGGCCACCCGCCAGGCATGCACACCGTCACCGCTGACTCGGGCTAGCTGCTGGCGTGTGAGGAGTGATGTGGCCAGGTCTGCTAATGCTGGCTTCCCTGCCCCCCTTGTTAATGTGAGCACACTGTGTGTAGACTGTGCTTAATGGATGCCCGGTCACTCCAAGGAGGAGGTGGGACCGAGGGGCGCTAGGGTGGGCAGTTTGCTGTGATGAGTAGCCAGAGAAGAGAGGTGCGTGCTGACCTGTGGAGTTTAGGGGTGCTCTGTCCTGCTAGAAAAGGCAGTCAGATGAGGAGAGGATGGCTCTCACTGAGACGGTGACACACACAGTGATTGTGACAGTAGGTTCAAGCGTGGTGGGGATGATGCAGATGGCGGGACAGGGCAGGGCTCCCTGGGCCCCCGAGCCGGAGTCACCTTGTTGGCACTGACCGCCTGAAGGAACAGGCGACAGGGACCAGGGTTCTTCATTTAATTCCCCAGCCTTGTGTGTGTGGCTCCTTTTTACGTCAACGTCTTTTCTTCTTGCTCCTTGCTCTGTTCTAAAGTGGGCCCTGGCAGAAAATATGTGTCTTCTCAGCTGTTTCCGTGTGAGGAGATTCCCATTATTGCTGAAGAGTTTTGTGTTAATGAGGCTGCTCAGACGTGCCTGTTAACTTCACCAGGGTTATCAGTGGTTGGAGTGGAAAGCAGGCTTTTTTTCTCATAACTGTGGTTTTAAAACAAAGTTATGAAAACTTTTCTACTGTTTCAGATGCCAAAACGGGACCAAGCCATTTAAAGAAAATTGAACATCTTCTTTCTGAATTGTCAGAAGGCGTTTGTCAGATGTTTATGCGGGCTGGTACCCATGCTGATCTCCGCCTGTAGGAGGTGTTTCCTGTCAGGCGCCCACGCCCCCTCATCCCCCCCGCACAGCCCCCTGCGGGAAGGAAGCCCGTCAGGGCCAGCATGGTAGAGGTGACCAGCACAGGCGGGCTCTTCCCCAGTGAGAGGCGGCCTCCTTGGTGGGCCTGTCTGCTGGCTGAGGCCATGGAGTGTCTGGTGGGCCCCTAGCTGTCTCCTCCTCCTGGACGCTCTTGCTGTTCCGCTGGATTTCTGGCCGTCCTTCTTCCTAATAGGTGGCGTGGGCTGTGGAAAGCTCTGTAGCCCCCAGCTGTCCAGAAGCCGCCCCCTGCACCAGGTTCCTTACTTGGGACGAAGAGCAGGGCTTCTTGGTCAGCAGCTCCGTGGAGGGGCCCGCTTGGGCTGGGGTTGCTTTCCCCCAGGCCTGTGACTCATGGTCCCCTGCCCTGCCCTGGGTCACGTCACAGGACGGATCTGGCCAAGGCCTGGTGTCCTCTGACAGGTTATCACATGGGCAATGCCCACAGGCCTGCCTCAGCTAATATGGACAGAGCTGGTGTGGGGACCTGGGAGTCGGCCTGCTCACATGGCCCACTTTGGGTTGCAGGCCTGGGCTACCTGTACTCATGGCCAGAGCCCCTGGGACCGCCAGGCACTCACGACCACGTCCAGCTTGGGCCCCAGTGCGCTTGCCATGCCATTCCCTGTCCATCTGCCCGGTGGTTTGAAGGGTGCACTCCACAGCCTCAGGACGCTGGCAATTGAGGTGGCACTAGCGGTGTTTGGACGTTAACCTACTGCTGCTTGATGCTGACTCCTGGCCCCCACTTGCTGCAGCGCAGAGCTGCCTTGTGGGGCTCTCCGACAGTGACCTTTGGGCTCATGGCCCAGCTTTTTGCTGCAGCCCCACCGGGGGCAGTCTGAACTGTCACCTGTCAGTTTAATGGTTGGATGCCAACGGTCTGCACCCCACCCCGGGACCTTAGTGACCCACAGAAAAGGATTTTCCCAGCAGAGACAGGCAGTGCCCAGCGCTGTTCTCCTTGAGACCCGCGGGCTGAGCAGTACAGACGCGCTGCGAGCTGGTGATTTTGCCAGAAAGAGAGCCAGCGCGCTCACAGCAGTGCAGCTCTCGCTCAGGTGCGGGCCTGAGGGCTGCAGGGGAGGTTGGCGTCTGCGCCTGAGAATCGCAGAGCCTTGGGAGTCCTCGCTGGCCGGCGTTCGTGGGTCAGGGTCAGCACGACAGCGGGGGCTGGGTGTTCTCATGGTGATGCAGCACGGACGAGCCCTGGTTGGGTGTTGGTCACCCTGGGTCAGGGTCGGCGGACAGCGGGGGCTGGGAGCCCTGGTGGGGTGGCGGTCACGCCTGAAAGGCTTGCCATCGGGCTGCCCTGTGGGCGTCTCCTCCGGCTGCAGGACTGTGCGGTGGGAGTCCACTTGGGGGCAGTGGAGGGTTATTTTGGTTTAATACAAGCCGAGACTGTGTGCTGGGGGACCGAGGACAGAGCTAGGCCCCTTTCTCTTTCGCATGTTACAGTTGAGCAGTGTGGGCCATGGGGCGGTGAGCACAGGCAGGAGGCGCCCTCACACACACGTCCGTGGAGGTTTGGACCTCGGGGCTCGGCACCTCTTTCTTTACCAGAGTCGAGTGCGCATTCTCGGCCCCCACGGGAGTCCCTCGCTGTTCCCTCCCACTGTGTCACTAGTGTTACTAGTACTGAGATGGTTGTGACTCTCAGCTGACCCCTCACGGTTGACAGCAGGAAGGACTGACGTCCGGTCCCACCCCGTCCTCCCTCACAGGCCCCCGGGACCTGTCTCCCAGCGTGATAGCAGCAGGACTTGTCCCTTCTTAATAACCTTCTCAGTGGCCATTTCCCCAAAAGTAGCCTGAGTTTCCTTCATCCTTGCCTGGAAGCTTCTGACCCCTGTCATCCACCGGCCGGTGACATACCCACGACGTGGCTTCCACTGCAGGGACACACAGCCCCCAGTGAGACAGGCAGACAGAGACTGCAGCCGATCAGAGTGGGAGCTCACGCAGGGCTTCACCAGGGGGGCAAGGTCTGGTCAGACTTGAGCGCCCAGCGTGGTTCCCAGCCCTGGCAGGACCGGACGTGGGGACGGGCTGGCGGCCGGTGGGACTGTCCTGACCGTGGCTGTGGGTGCGCCTGTCTTCCAGAGGATTACCCCAACGGGACGTGGCTGGGCGACGAGAACAACCCCGAGATGCGGGTGCGCTGTGCCATCATCCCCTCTGACATGCTGCACATCAGTACCAACTGCCGCACGGCCGAGAAGATGGCGCTCACGCTGCTCGACTACCTCTTCCACCGCGAGGTGCAGGCCGTGTCCAACCTCTCGGGCCAGGGCAAGCACGGCAAGAAGCAGCTGGACCCGCTCACCATCTATGGCATCCGCTGTGAGTGCGGGCGGGCCGGGCGCCGGGGCGGAGGGCCGGGGAAGGGTGGTGCTCCGGGTCCTAGTAACTGGGAGAGTGGAGCTCAGGGCCTCACGCAGTCACCGGGCAGGGATGCGCCTGGATCCCTGGACCCTGAGAAGGTGGGGAGCGAGGTGGTTCTCTGGGCCCCACGCAGTCACCGGGCAGGGCCTGGGTCCCTGGACCCTGAGAACCGGGAGGCCGACCTTCTGGACCGGGCACGTCCCTCACTGTGGGCCACCTGGTGCTCTGGGCAGGAAGGGCCCTGGGAAGCTGGGCCAGCTGGCTGCAGGTTCTTCTAGAAGTGGAGTGTGCAGACCTTTACTGGCTCTTCATGAGTGAAAGTGTGGAGAGGCCAGCTTAGTACCCTCCTCTGTGAGTGGAGAGGGGGCCAGCTCGCTTCAAGGCCAAGTGTGTGCGTGCGAGTGGACGGAGCGCTTGCCGAGAGAGGCTGCCTCCCGCTCGTGTCACACGAACTTGCAAACTCGGTTCCACTTTTCAGAACATTAGAGATTCCTTGACCAGTCGCTGCTAAGTCAGCATGAAGTCAGGAGTTGAGCTGCTGGCCCTTCTGTCTTTTTGCCTTGAGCTTCAGATGGCATGTCAGGGGCGATGAGGTCTGTTCCCTTGTGGTGATAAACTCTGTGCCGCCAGCAGAGACTCAGATGACGAGTCTGGCCATGTTAGCCGGGCCCTGTTCTCCAGCGCCAGCCTCTCTGTGAGGCTCACTACTGGAGAGCTGGACCAGCACTGACCACCCTGGGGCCTCTGGGAAGAAAAGGTGTTGACCACTGACAGGAACTGGTCTTGACTTGGAGGGGCTCCCAGACAGCTTGCCAGCTCGGTGGTTCGTGGGGTGGCCAGACACCACCTAGTTCTGCTCTACGTGGCTGAGGCCAGGGCTTCGGTCTGTATACTGTTTGCTCTGTTCATTTTCCTATCCAGGTACCTGTCTTTCTTTAGTTTGTATTTTTTTTCTGTTGCTAACAAGTTTTTCAAATGTTGTGTAATCTCACCAACCCTGGAGGGATTGAGAAGACTTTTCTCTTGAATGTTGAGCAGTGTGAACGGCGTGGTATCTAGTATGTTTCGGTCTTTCCGGTGAGGCCCACGGGCAGCGAGATGCTGTGACAGTGCCTGTGTCCCATCTTGTGCTGGAGACAGCAGTGTGGTGGAGTGTCCTCCAGGGCTCCTGGAACTAGCTTGTCACCAGCCAGGGCTGTTGCGGTCATGCCCAGCACCTAATGCCATGCCCACACGTGACACTCACTCAGTCACCGAGTTCATGATTTCCTGATGAAACTCCAGAGAGCAGAGGCTCTGTTTTGATGTGAGGGTGGAAATGCGCTCCTTCAGGGTTTGGGTTCTTGTTCATCCTGATTCTGTAATGACGGCACCCCCACCCTCGGTCCTTTCTATCTGGATTGATGAAGTCTCAGTCACCCTTCAAATCAGAGATGTCCGAAGCATATTCTCCTAGAAGCATTCCAGAAGTATCTTTCCAAAACAAAGGAAACTTTTGATACTGAATGTAGGACTTAAAAACAAACACTTCCTTTGTTTTGGTTATTCCTTGTACTTTGGGCTCAAGAGGCACAGATTGGAGGGTGTGAGACAGTAATCTGACTCTCAGAGATAGTCCAGATTCGATCCTCTGAGTAGTCAAAACAGGATGTTTTTCAGCTTAGTCTTTTCATTATTAAAATTTGGAATTTCAGCCGTCATTTTCAGTGAGGTTGAATGAGGCGGCTAGGAAGGAGACCAGCCAGCTGGTAGTGCCCGTCCTTGAAGCCCGTGCCCTGACTGTGCCCTCACCATGGAAGAAGAGTTCTCTGTGTGGCACTGACTGTACCACGCACTCTCTCTGACTGAGGCACTCGGGCCCCTTGGGGGGCTTGCTGTGAGAGAGGTGACCTGGAGGGAGACCACAGCTGTGAGAGGGAATTCCATGGGGGCCACGGAATCTCTGCCCTCAGAACCACGATCTCTTGAGGGGTGACGGGAGTGCAGGCAAGTCCTGGGAACGACCCAGTCGGAACCCCACAGGGTATTGGCCCCTGATGGGCACTGAGTGACCAGGTGGAACCCCTGGGGGTTGTTGGTCTCCTGACAGGCACTGGGGCACTGAGCGACCGGGCGGAACCCCTGGGGGTGTTGGCCTGTGGGGGCACTTAGCCAGCAGAGCTCCGTGTTTGAGCTTGAGTGGTGTGTGTCTTGGTCTGGAGATGATTTCTTAACTGAAAGTAAATCTGTGACTTATACATTGATATTCAAAGAGGAGGAGAGGAGAGGTCTGTGCTGTAGATGAGACCTCAACAGTGATCACCCAGGTGTCCACCCCGGAAGGTGGCATTTATTTCAGTGCGTCCCACACGAGGGGGGCCGTCACCCCACAGTGCGTCCCACATGAGATGATAACCTTTGTGTCACAGTGTGTTCTTTCGGGTGTGTTTTTCAGGTCACCTGTTTTATAAATTTGGAATCACAGAATCTGACTGGTATCGAATCAAACAGAGCATCGACTCCAAGTGCCGGACCGCTTGGCGGCGGAAACAGCGAGGTCAAAGCCTGGCCGTCAAGAGCTTCTCTCGGAGGACCCCGTCCTCGTCGTCCTACAGCGCTTCAGGTACGCCTATCAGTGAGGCCTCTCCTGCAGCAGCAGGGCAGTTGGAATTGCCTGTGCGAGGCCTGAGCAGGGCCCGTGGGGCAGCTGGCAGCGTCCTCCTGCTGTGGGCCTGGGGACGGGAAGTGCTGCGTGTGGTTGAGCGTCCAGTCCCTTCCGAGCGTGAGGGAGCCTCGGCCCAGGCCTGCTCTGGGCTGCTCAGGCCGGCAGGGGACACAGGGACCACACACTGAACTCAAGTCGGGAAGGAGCTGGCTGTGATTGGGGTGCTGCAGGTGTCCTCGCCCACCCTGAGCCGGGCCTGGCTTCTTAGCGTCAGGTGCACGCCTGGCCTTCTTGCACGGACTACAGACAGAAGGACCACGTGGAGACCAGCTGGGTTAGGCTTTACTCATGTTCTTCTGTCTTGAAGCCCCTCGTTCAGAGTTCGTTTTTATGCCAGTGCCAGGTGGCCATGGTGGAGCCCTTTCACAGTGTGGAAATGAGCTCTCCTTTCCAGACACCTTCCAGTGGTGTGCGTGGGAGGGACCTGGTCTGAGTATGTGTGGATCCCCTGAGGTCATGCTGGAGTCCATGCTGGGGGCGCCTGTGTGGTAACCCTGTGTGCTGTTGTTGTACGGTGACCGTGTGTGCGGTGACCATATGTGCAGGACTGTGTGTGCAGTGACCATGTATGGAGGACTGTGTGCGGTGACTGTGTGTGGCGACGGCTCCCACAGTGGACACACACTGCTATGCTTGTGCAGTGACCGTGTGTGTGGTGAACTTGTGTAACACACTGCCTGTGCCTGTGCAGTGACCGTGTGTGTGAAGACGGCTCCCACAGTGGACACGTGCTTCCTGCGCCTGTGTGGTGACCGTGTGTGCAGAGACCGCTCCTGCACTAGACCACGTGTGCTGGTCTGGTCACTGAAGAGATGCACTCACTCCCTTTGATGAAATCTGGCCTTTCTCTTACTGATAGATCCCATTCGGCAACTCGGGTGATTTGGCGTCGGCTAGACTGTGAATAGATTGGAAAGTCTTAGTGGAGGGGTATTCCTGCTGGCCAGGTAGGCCTCCAGGGCTGGCTCTCATGAATAAATAGTATTTATTCATTATTTTAGTAAAAGTATTTTAAGCATCATCCCCCAAAAAGAAAAAAATGAATTGTTACTCGTTCTCGTTGTTATCCTGCTTGTTAAAATAAGCTGTCTCTTTGTTGGCAAAAATATTCTTCTACGTAGGGAAAATATATAAATTCTAAGCAGGAGTGGCATCCACTTCCTAAACAATTGGAAACTCTATGAACTTTGACAAATGTTAATAGTTATAGAAAGGCTTCAGGCCTTTTGTTTATAGGGTCACTATGACTCATGCTTAACAGCAATCAACAACATCAACATATAGGGAAAAGATCATTCAGGAGGCTGGGATGTATGAGGAGGAATGTGGTATCAGGATTGGAGAAAGACTCATCAACAACCTACATTATGCAGATGACACAACCTTTGTTACTGAAACTGAGGAGGACCTGAAGCACTTGCTGCAGAAGTCAAGGACTATAGTCTTCAATATGGATTGAAGCTCAACATCAAGAAAACAACAATTCTCACCACTGGGCCAATTGACAGGACCATGATGACGGAGAAGAGATTGAAGTTATTAACAATTACAGCTTCCTTGGCTCCGCAGTCAATAATCTTGTCACCAGCAGTCAAGAAATCAAAAGACAAATTGCTCTGGGAAAAATCTGCTGTCAAGGATATCTCCAGAGTACTGAGAAGCAACGATGTCAGTCTAGAGACTAAGGTGTGCCTGATCCAGGCCATGATCTTTGTAATTACTTGCTGTGCATCAGAGAGCTGGATAATGACTAAGGCTGACAGAAGAAGAATTGATGTCTTTGAGTTGTGGTGCTGGAGAAGAGTCTTGGACATAGACCACCAAGGAAACAAATAAGTCTGTCTTGAAGAGTGTGCAACCAAGTTTCTCGTTGGAGTCTAGGATTTTGAAGTTCCATATATTTTGGGCACATGGCCAGGAGAGACTGGTCCTTGGAGAAGGACATCGTGATTGGAAGGTTGGAGGGACAGTGCAGGAGGGGAAGACCCCAGATGAGATGAATTGATACAGTAACCGGGGCAGTGGGGATGGGTGTGTCAGAGTCAGAGAGACAGGCTCAGGACAGGGCAGGCTTCAGAGCTGTTGTACAGAGGGTCACTGTGAGTCGCAGGTGACTCAATGGCACATAACAACAACAACAATGGGAAAATATTTAAAACCTTCAGTAAAACTTCATTGCATATTATTAAAAAATACTGGAACAATACATTTACAGGGAATGGCCAGAAATTCAAGCTGGATTCAGAAGAGGCTGTGGCACAAGATGTGAAATCATTGCTGGTATCAGCTGGATCTTGGCTGAAAGCAGAGAGTATCAGAAAGATATTTACTTGTGTTTTATTGATTATGCAAAGGTATTTGACAGTAGATCATAATGAATTATGGATAATACTGAGAAGAAAGAGAGTCCCAAAACACTTGATTTTGGGAAACCTAGACATAGACTGAGACGCAGTTGTGTGAACAGAGCAAGGGAACAATGCATGGTTTACAATCAAGTGTGCGTCACAGCTGTGACCACTCTCCGTACCTGTTTAATCGGTAAACTGGGCAAATCACTCAAGAAGCTGGACTGTATGAAGAGGAATGTGGCATCAGGATTGGAGGAAGACTCACGAACAACATGCATTATGCAGACGACACCACTTAGAGAAAATGAAGAAGACTTGGAGTAGTTGCTGCAGAAGATCAAAGACTGTATCGTCTTCAATATGGATTACTTCTCAACATCCAAATGAAATTCCCTACCACTGGACCAACAGGCAACATTATGCCAAAGAGCTGGTGGTTCAGATCCACTGGGTGTCTGTGGAGGGAAGCGAGGCCGTCTCGTCCTGCCGTTTCTGGCCTCTGGAGCCCAGAGATGCTCGCTGTGAGTTAGGGATCACTTGGTGCCATTGTGTTCTTTTCAATTATGGAATTAGATTAAGACAGTTTAAAATCTCTGCTAATCTGCCCCCCCCCCAACTTACATTAGAACCTTTGCATTTATTCTCAACACAGACCAGCTGAGCAGGAACTGTGGGAAGGTCTGGGGCAGGTCAGAGGAAGGCATTGGGCTTCGTGCCGTCCGTCTCTGGTCTCTGCCCACTCCTAGGCCTGCTTCTCCTCAGGGGCTGGGGGCTGTGGGCTGTGGCTGTGTCCACCACTTGTGGCCTGCTTTCCTTCTCAAAAAGCTCTCGCCTACAGGATTCTGGGGGTTGTCTTATCCCCTCAGAAGCTCCCTTGGCAGGAGCGTGTGAAGCGTGGGCCGGCTGAGGGAGGCTGGGCACAGGGTCGGGCAGTGTGAGCCATGTCCAGTCTGTTGTGAGCGTGGCCTTTGTCAGCTAGCTCGGCTTACCTGGCACTCTGAGTCGCTTCTTTGGGACTTGGACGTCAGCAAGTGCTTCTCTCCCAGGGCTGGTGGTTATCAGATCTTAGTCCTCAGTGCTGCCGACTGTAAAGATGAGAGGTGGCCAGCTCTGTGGACCACACGCATTGGGACTTTTTTGGGGTGACACGTATTGAAGAATCTCTTCATGTGAAACCAGAGCCTTTCTAATACAATCAGGCGCTGTCTGAGGAATTAAAACGAGAGTTGGTGCTCAGAGTTGGGGTCACAGGATATTGGTGCAGTACCAATGTCACACAAGTGTGGTATGTGAGCTGGGCCATGTTCTGGGGTGTTAGGAGCTGAGGAGTGGCAGGCAGGAGCGCCCCACTTTCCTTACAGGTGCGTAGTGGCGTGGAGAGGGGACCGAAAAGAGATGTCATCATTTTGACACAGTTCTCTTTAGGTGGAGTGTAATTTTAGTTTTTCTTTGTGTTTCCTCCAGTTTCCAAACGACTAGCAGGGCACTGTAAGTGTCATCGTTTAAGGAAACGCTGTTTCAGATGACGGGCAGGAGAGCTCTGCTTTCCCCACGGTGCGGTGGCACGCGGCAGGTTTCACTCTTGCCATAGCAGCCGGGACTTGTGGGCAGAGACGACTGTGCTCAGACTCGGGACTGCTCGGGCCAGGGATCCCCGAGAGAGGACCCTTGAGCCGTTCCCTGCCGTCCCGCTGGGCCGAGCATGCTGTCTCCCCGGGTCGGGACAGGTGGGGCAGCTGAGAGTCACAGGATACAGTGCTGGAGGGCACCCACATGGGAGGTCTGACTCATGCAGGAAAAACCCAGCGGCTGGACAGGAAGTGCCCAGATGCCGGTGCCCGTGGACAGGAGCCGGGCAGGTTCCCACCTGCCCGTGCGGAGCGTCCCCGGCTAGTGCTTCTGGGAGGCACAGAGGCCACGTCCTGTGGTCATCAGGTGCCGGTCTCTGGCACGCTCGCGCCCGACGTGACAGTCACTGTCAGGCCATCCCCTCACTGACCTTTCCCAGCAGGAGGCCTTTTTCCAAGGACTGGCATTTCCTCGTGGGGCTGGAGTCCCAGGGAGTAAAGGAGAGCCTGGGAGATGCGAGAGGCCACTGTTGGGAGCGCCACAGGTTGTACCAAGGTCACGCCAGCTTATGACTGTTGTGTGCCATCGTGTGGAAACCGCCTCCTAGCTGACCCTCCAGGGGGATTTCACAGACTGCCCGTCTGTCCCCCAGAGCAGCCGGTGGGTCTAAGCAGGGTGAGCTCCTTACGGTCCACGGCCCACACCAGCAGAGCTTATAGCCGGGCCTTGGAAGGATGGGAGAGAACGGCGGGTGCGTTGTTCAACACGCCGGTCCGTGGGGCCCAGCAGCCGTTCTGAGGGAGAAAGATGGCGGCGTTCTTCTGTGCCCTTGATAATTCCTGAAAGCCTCCCAGAAGGTTAGCTGTGACTTGGTCCTGACATGGCAGTGAGCTTTGTATTTTAAAGGAAACAAGGAAACCTAAACACCCAACAAGAAAATCTCACCATGTCGTTACGAGATGTGGTAAACAGGAGTTTTGACCCTCAGGAGAAGGGCGAGTAATCAGCAGACGAAGACTAGGGCACTAGCAAGACGGCCTGAAAACACGCGGTGCCACCCTCGGGTCGTCCACACACCCGCAGTGTTTGCCAAAAGAAAGGGTGCCCCAGCGGCGGGTTTCACACCGCGAGACGGCGAGCCCGCCCTGAGGTGCAGTGCAGTTTAGTCAGCCGAAAATCGACCTGCTTGGCCTGAGTCGGCGGAGTAGTTGCCATGAGTTTATGTTCTAATTTCAAGTTACAATGAGAGGAAACACGTATCTGTAACGGCGGAGAAAGACCATCCTCGCGGATCCTGAGAGGAAAAGCCAGGCCCCGAGGAAGAGGCGGCCGGGGCACTGGGGGCGCTGAGGGCGAGGGAGGCGGCGTCCTCGCGGCTGGACGCCCCGGCTCCTCTCCTTCAGTCGGTGAGCGGCTTATTTATCACAAGGAAAAAGAGCGACACGGTGAGCAGGCGACTCCTGCGACGAGGTGACCGGTGGGAACACTGGGCTGCGGAGTCAGCGTTCTGAAAGACAATCGGGAGACCAGCCTCATCGATGGCCAGCACCGAGGGGACACCCGCGGACGGGGCCTCCAGAGCAGCTGCCACTCGGCGGCCATCCCCGGACCCGACACCGGGTCCACCCAGCTGGCCCGACCCTGTGAAGTGTGGGCTGCCCCACAGCCCTCACCACCCTGGGCCCAGTGGCAGGAGTCCGCCTCCTCTGTCCAGCCAGCTGGCCCGGCTCTGTGAGGCATGATTTGGGGCTGGAGGAAACTTTCACTGCCCGGGACAGACATGCCCAGCTCAGGGACAGTGTGGAGGCCAAGGGGTTGCCGTGTGAACTGTGAGAGGGGTCACCAGGGCCATGAGCCTTGGGGTGTTTATGAGTCAGGAGTGCGCTTCAGTGCTGTGACCTCGTGTTCCTGTGACTCCGGGCCGGAGCCCTTGTGGACTGGGGAGAAGCCAGAGCCTCCCACGGGGCCTCCTTGTCCCGGGTGCCAGGAGGGCCGGGGTCTCAGTCCGCTCTTCACAGCTTGAGCCCATTTTGTGTTCCTGGTTTTAACTTACTCGAGCTGGCTAAAGCCAGGTGAAGTGCAGTGTGTAGTTCGTGGAGGGGCCTTCCGGGAATTCTGCCCTGTTCGTTTGCCCCCGTCTTTGCCTAAAAAAGCAAATCTGATACTTGAGGCTATTTTGGTGAAGGAAGTAGTCCAGCGATGCATAATTAAGCCGGGCTTTGTTAATTTGGCGTGGGCAGTAATCCCAGCTGGGCTATCGCCTTTACTTTTGAATTGTCAGTGGATAGGAAAAGGATTTTTCAAATACTCTAAACAGGATTTTGAGCCAAGGCTAGCCTCTTCAGAGCTGCACTGACACCGCCGATTTGAATATAAACCACAGAGCCACTAGCTCCACAAGATTAAGAAAGTCCATTTATTCTGGTGTCTGCATCGTCCTCTCGGGTAACGCTGCGTCCACCTTTGTGGCTGCCGGCGGTTCAGGTGGCTGGGCCTGCTCTCTCTGTGTGTACACATTCTCTCCCGCCAGGCTTGCTGGTGGGTGCAAAGCCCTAGACGGGGCCACGTGTCATGCCCTCACAGTGATTCCAGCTCACACCAACTCAAGGACAGCAGAACTGCCACAGGGCCCAAATCTAAAAGACAAGTTTGTGGGTCTGTCCCCTGTGGAGGCCTTGGTGGCCTTAAACCTCTGACCTGTCAGTTAACAGGCAAGTGCCATTTTGGTTTGCACCCCAGGCCCTGTGGATGCCTGTGCGGTGTCCGGAGTTTCAGCTGCTGAGTCAGGGGCCTGCTCCCGTGTTGCCTGTGGATGTGTTTGTGAGGCCTCTGGGCGCCGGATGGGGGTGTACGTGGGGGACATGACTCTGCTTCATTTCCTCCTGCGGTGGGTGGTAATGCCCCAGCCACCTGGAACTTCCTCAGGGCTCCCCCCACCCAGCAGCAGGGGAGCCCGCAGCTCTGGGCCGTGGTGTGACTGGGAGACGATTGTTGGTCAGTACAGGGACCGGCGCAGCTGTTCCCACTGCACCCTCCTCTGTAGCATTTACCGCCGGGGCTGAACTGGGCTTCACGTGGTGGGTGGCGGGGCTGGGGGCCAGCCCTGCTTTCAATTTTTGGGAGCACACAGGCCGTTGATTCTTGCTAACGTGGGAGGTAGATGGCCCGGTTGGTCTAGCTGACCAGTGGAGCAGAGCGAGATGCTCTGTTCACGGCTCTGAAGGGATCTGGAAAAGGTATGCTCTTCACAGCTTTTTGAATTCACAGTTTGGAGAGTAGGGACGTTCATTTGACACTCTGATTTGGAGGCATCCAGCAGGACGTATTTCAGGAGCGTGAGTGAAGCGTGCGTGCCTCGCTGCACTCCTCTAAGACACCTGTGGTGTGGCCTGGGCGCTGGGACCCTGGGGCGCACAGCCTGCTGGCTCCGGAGGACTCCGGACACATAGCTTTCCTTTGTCTTTTGAATCTTGCTAACGTACTTCTCCCGTAGAATTTCATCCTAATATAATCAACTGTTCGTTTGAGACATCTTTCTTGATAAGCCATTGCATTTCTCTGCACTGGTTGGTTAATGCTGGCATCCCCAGGCAGGTGGCTCAGCTCTAGCAGCTGCTCGGTGGGAGAAGGACGGGCCACCCCATGGCAGGTTACAGCCCCTGAAAACCACTGCCTGCATATCCCCTGTACATGCCAAAGGTGCCTGGGCAGCTGCAGCGGTGGCCAGGACAAAGTGGCCAGGTTGCCTGTGGACAGTTAGTTCTGCTTGGGAGACAATGGCTCCTTCCTGCCGGCCTGGCGGTGGGCACGTCCAGCTCACTGCCGGTCTGAGACTGAGATGGATGCCCACATCAGTCCTGGTTTTCATGCGTGAGCCATGTCTCGGGGGCACGTTTTCAAATCCACAGCTGGAGGGGACTGTGCTGTCACTGTCGCCCACCTCCCAGCCTCCTTGCCCAAGGCCTACACCCCTGAAGTTCTTGTTACCCACCGTGAGCAGCTGGGCCTCCTCCCAGCGTCCATGTGGACCTCGGCCAAGACGGCTGTCGCCTCGAGATGGCCCCCTCCTCACCGGGCACGAGGGGACGGGGAGGCTGGAGGTGGATGGGGCGTCTGTCTGCGGGGGGTCTTTTGACACCAGCCCTCCCCTGTGTCCCCACAGAGACGATTCTGAGCACTCCCCCGCCCACCAGTGAGATCGCGCAGCCCCAGCCACAGGCACTTCACTACACGCTGGCCAACGCCCAGCAGGTCCAGATCCACCAGATTGGAGAAGATGGACAAGTCCAAGTAGTATGTACTGTCCCGCACTGCACTTGGTGACCGGGGGGGGGGGCGGGGGGGTACCCCAGGAAGGAGCACGTGGACAGTGGTGCTGAGGGCGGGCGCTCGAGGGGCCTTGGGATGGCTTATTGACATGCAAGGGACCCGTTTCCAGGACAAGGCCCTGGCATAGAGGGTCCGATGGTGGCACCAGCTTAGCTTCCCCCTGCCACAGATGGGCACTGGGTGCCACGTGGGCCTTCTGAGTCAGGCAGTGTCTCCCTCCAGAGGAGGCTCCTCACCTGATCGGCTCTCCCTGGGGGGCAAGGTGGCACACACGGGGCTCACACCAATGCAGTGAACGGACGGCTGTGGGCAGCCTCCGGCAGCTTTTCTTAAGGTCCATTTTGACCGTGATGGGATTGTGACTAGGGTGGTGGACATGCATTTCTCACCTCCGAGTGTAGAGTTTGCTTTTCTGTCCCTGGCTGGGAGCGTGAGTGCCCTTCAGCTGGGCTCCGAGCTCAGGAAGCACGTTTGCTGGTTTTCCTGCTTTGTCTGCATAGTGCTGCGATGTCTGATCTGAAGATCCGTGTCCTGCTTCCCAGTGGATGCAGGCGTAGTGGATCCGGCCCCTCTGCTTACACACAGTCCATGTGGCTTCCAGGGGCCCAGGATGGCCAGCTCTCCTTGAGGGCACAGCCTGACTTCTGGTCCCTCCAGGTGGACAGTGATTTTAAAAGGGCCTCAGTGTCATTTGCTGGGGAATTCCTGGCCCCTCCCTGCTTTCCTGGTCACCTTCCTAGGCTGACCTGCTGAGTTCTGAGCGGGAGCGCATTTTCATGGGCCCAGGGTTAGTGTAAGACTGTAAACGATCCTGTATGCATGTCCCGTGCTAACCTCTCACCGCCTGAGCGTCCCCGCCACGTGACAGCGCACAGCTAAGGATAGGGTTGTGTCCTTTGAGCAGGGACCTGGGGCCCAAGCGGGATGTCCAGAAGTGTCTGATGTGTCCTTAGGCTTCAATTTCTTCTGATGCTTCTTGGTGTTTTTGTTTGTGTGGATCCCACAGGGCCACCTCCACATTGCCCAGGTGCCACAAGGGGAGCAGGTCCAGATCACGCAGGACAGCGAGGTGAGTGCTGTGGGCCCTGTCCAAGTGCCACTGGCGGTGGCTCTGCCGACGTGGTAATGCCCCCACGTGACACTGATCAGCTGTCTCCAGGGCACCACCCCAGGTGCAGCCACCACCTGGCTTGCCTGTTAGGAGTACTTGCTAGCCGTCAGCGAGCCCACGGAGGCCATGGGCTCTGGCTCCAGGGGGCAGCCATCCCAGCGTGGCTCTGTCCCTTTGTCCATCCAGGGGCAGCTGTCCCAGCGCGGCTCTGTCTCCTTGTCCTGGGGGCCACCTCTGCTGCTGGCATGGTGTCTCTGGCCCCAGTGGCATGCTGCACGCTGTTCCTCTTCCTCTTGGGGAGTGAGATTCCTCTCTTCTGCCCTCAGCCTGCTTGCTGTAAGCCTGGTGGGTGGTCAGACCATTGATCCCAGCCTTTGAGCACTCCCCTTGTCTGTTCCCACCCCAGAGAGGCCCTTTACCTCATCAGTTCATCAGCACAGCCCTTCCCAGCCCGGGGGCAGCCGGCAGAGCCAGTGACTAGGAGGCCAGCAGAAAGAGCCATCGGCAAGGCCCCTCTCATCCTGCCTTCCACTCTACACTGCGATGCTCACAGAGCAACTTGACCTTTCAGCCCTTCTGACACATTGTTTCCTGACGTTGCAACAGCACTTTTGCCACACCCTCCCTGTATTTCTGGTTTCCATTCCTCCTTGTCTTACTTCTCTGTCTTCTCAGAACTTTGTGTGAGAAGTGACGCGTAGGGTGTTGGAGACCAGAGGCGCTCCAGGAGTCCAGCAGCGTCTCCTGTCGCTTTCCAGCCTCACAGCTCAAGCGCTCCCCCGGCCTCCTCCACAGCCTTTTGCCAGAGGGGGGTCAGAGGGGGAGGCGAGGGGATTCCTGGAGTTCCCTTGGTTTCCGTGGTGACGCTGCAGCGTGCAGTCATTTCCCATCACAGCCTCACCTCCCGCATCTAATACGAGGAAAAGGGGGCGCCTTGTCCGAGAGCAGGCAGGGTCTGTGGTCCGCTTGTTCTCAGCTGCATGGGCTGGGGACGGAGACCCCACAGCACTCGCCTACCCCTGCTGGGAGCCTGCCAGTGTCTCTAAGGGAAGCTGGAAAGGATGACATTTTCATTCTGGAGGAAATGGATACAAGGGATTTTTTTGAACGTTCCCTTCTGTTTTATTTTTGCATATACACAAATGGTGCGATCATCCCTCGGGACCTGAGAGGAATTGGCTCCAGGACCCCATGGACATGTGTGTGCATGGAGCCCTCGCACGGCCTGTTTGTACTGGGCACCTCTGGTCACACCTGACCTCGGCTCACTGACAGCACTTCAGACAGAGTGACTGCCGTGGGAAGCACATGTCTGATGCCTCAGCCTCTGAGGGGTGGGCTTTTTTAGCCTGGAGGCTCTGAAATGCTGACATGGAGGGCTGATCATAGAGTCTGGCTGCTGTGAGGTTCCTGTTCCTCAATCTCCATGTCCAGGTTCCTCCTGGAGGTGCCATGTGTCCCCACAGACAGGACGCTGTCTCATCTTCTCCTTCTTGTGTTTTATTCACAGGGCAACCTGCAGATCCACCACGTGGGACAGGACGGCCAGGTGAGTGTGCACCTGTCTTTGCTGCCCACACCCTGTGGCCTCCCTCAGGCTGGGCATGGCGGGGCAGTGAGGCTCCTGGCCAGGGACCCTGACACCAGGCAGCAGGGCCCACGCTGTGCTGCGGGGCTGCGGCCCTCTCCTGGGGCCCTCTGCCGCATTGTGCCTTCGGGTCAGCTCTGCCGCGTGTCTGCTCTGTGCTTTCCAAGTTGGCGCGAACGTTGTGAATTCTCATGTTTGTATGTTTGCTGCTGTTAAAAGAGGGTAGTGTTGGCCGTGTCTGTCACTGGACGCCAGGCCACCTGGCCGTGTGGTGGTGACAAGAGGCTGATCCTCGTCTGAGCACTTCCAGGGGGATGCTTATGAAGTGGGACCTGGTGCTGGCTGCCTAGGGTCCGGGGAGGTCATGGTGTGATTCAGGGTCCCCATGTCCCCAGTCACAGCCTCTTGAATAGAGACTGTTTGGGAAACTATAACCCCCTCTGAAGAGCTAGATGATGCCAGGGGCTTTTTTTTTTTGAGATGGTACGTTGGCTGTAAGACCCTGGGGTGTAGATCTTCTGTGTTTCTGGGGCGCTGATATTTGCATAGAACTGACCCGGGCACTAGTTCTTGGATGCCTGTGGCCTGCTCATCATAAATGGTCACTGTCATAGGTGGACACTGTCGCAGACAGCTGTCCCCACAGACGGGTGTCCTCAAAGACAGACACCATCACAGATAGAGGTCCTTCCAGAAGGACATCCTCCCAGCTGGCATCACATGATGGGCACCAACACAGACAGACGTCCCTACAAGTGGGCATCACAGGTGGGCATCCCCACAGACAAGCATCTCATAGATAGCATCAAGGTAGATGTCCTCACAGGTGGACATCCTCACAGGTGGCGTCGCAGATGGGCACTGTCACAGGTGGGCGTCCCCACAAGTGGGCAGGCATCCTCACCGGTGGGTATCCTCACAGCGCGCACCATCTCACATGGGCAGTGCCGTATCCGATGCAGGGCCTGGTTGTCCATCCCCAGTGGAGGGCGTGTGCAGAGCACTTCCCCTCCAGTGACCTTTCCAGAAACTCTGAGTGTGGCCTGGCAGAGACGCTAGAAAACATAAACGTGGAGTCTGGGTTGGAATTCAGACTGGCGTTTCTTGGTTTACAAGAGTCCCTTCAGAGCCCACGTGAGGTTTCCGTTAGACAGCTGTGACACGGCAATGGCTTAGGAATAGTGGGCTCACTGCTCGCCTTGGGGAGGTACCAGAAGCCAGCAGTGCAACGTGTCCGCAAGGCCAGTCCAGAGACACCTTTCTGGCTGTGGGTGATACATGGGCAAGCTGATGGTCACCCAGTGTTCCCTTGTGGGCGTGTGTGGGTCCGCCGAGGACAAGCTTCACGGTCAGCAGGATGTGTCTGTCATGCCAGCATCTTAGCTGGTGGCGAGGCTGTGTTAGGACCCGTGTGTTCGGCTTTCTTTCCGTCAAGTGGGAGTGTGGCCCTGACCCCCAGTGTTTGTCCTGTGGCCACATTGCACTTGCGCTTCTGGTGAAGACCAGACGTGGTATGGTCTGGGGCGGCATGGTGGGCTGGTGTTAGAGAGCTCTGCTTGCCAGGCGCGGTAACAGCGCGGCAGGACAGGTACGTGCTCGGTTGTTAACAGGAGGGTGGGCAGTCGGACCGCTCTGTGGGCTCCTCAGGACCAGAGACTGGCGTCGACCCAGCGTCAACTGCTGACCGTGCGCAGCTCTGCTCTGTCCCCCCGTTGGGTCACTGTGGGTTCCCGTCATTCCCGACGACGCGCACACACATCAGCCGACGTCCCGGTGGGTGGCCAGCACTGTGGGAACCGGCCAGCTTTGGGTAAGAGGTGCTCACCCTAACCTCACAGGGGCCCTTTGGGGGTTTGCTGTGTGCACCGTGGAGTCAGAGCTGACTCACAGCTCACCCTCCAGCAGGTCTTCAAAGGCAGTGAATCACGTGGGAGGAGATTGCCCAACTTTCTCCCACCAAGCAGCTGCTGGATTTGAACTTCATGCCTTCGGGTTGGCACTAGGCTGCCGGGGCCACCCCACTTTGGGGTCTGTATTGGAAGCACAAAGGTCCTGGCAGTGTCATGTAACACATTGCATGTCAGGCTGACAGATAGGCCCAGAACCACATTGCTCTTCTGGCCGATGGGCAGCTCTTGTGACGTCGATGACCTCAGAGACCAGGTGGAGGGTGGCCGGAACCAGCTGGGCTTGGCATCAGTGGGGCTGGGGCTGGCGTTAAAAAATCCAGTCAGAGCACTGACGGATTAACCAGCAGACCTCCCCTGTAGAAGTGGGCACAGTTGAGTGTACCTCTTAAAGAGAGTGGGTGCACGCCTGGTTACCACAGAGTGGTGGGGAAGAGAAATTTATCTCTGTGAGGTGAACTTTGAAGGGATCCCAGAGTCACGGTGGGAACGTGCTTTCTCAGGCTGAGGCTGCCTGGCATTGGGACTGACGCTTGACGACGGGGAAGCTGCTGTTTTACTCCTCACCAAATGCTGGCTGGTCTCCCTGATGCCCCAGGAGGGGACAGGGTGCACCTGCTATGTGGTGACCAGACCACAAAGGAGGGAGGGGAGCTGGGTGCCCTGCAGCTGCTTCTCCTCTGAGCTGTGGGGACATAGCAGCTGTGACAAGACCAGTGTTCAAGGGAGCTTCCCGGTGAGTCGTGGAGGCCCAGGAGCCGGTCCCGCCTGTGTGTCAGGAGTGACACGGTGACGGTGGAGCTGCCTGGGTCCGGAGCTGCTGCTGTGTCCCCGTGATGCAGTGTCTGTCCTCATCCTCCTGGCCCAGCCAGGAATCCCTGCAGAGGTCACTGGGGAGCAGGGGCCCTGGTGACCGGAGCTCCTGGAAGTGAGTCCTGTGGTCCACATGAGCCCACGTGGACACTCCCTGGGATATGATTGGACTCAGAGGGGCTCTGTCCCCCTCAGCTGTCTTCCCCCAGGAGGGCCCCCATGGTGACATAGCGGGCAGTAGTGTTCTGGGACACAGGCTAGTGCTCCCTGCGAGGACTGTCCACATAGCTGGAGTCCACTCCTGATAGTGCAGGCAGGCCAGCGGGGCCAGCCTAGGGCAGTGCAGATGTGTGTGCCTTCAGCCTGAGGCCTCCCAACACAGCTGCCATCGTTCAGAGGCCCTGACCACGCAGTGCCTTATGTGTGGAGCTAACTGGAAGGTTGGACGTTCAAATCCACCACCAGGCGCTTCCTGGGAGAAAGACGGACAGTCTCCTGTGAAGATTTGCTGGCTCAGAAGCCCAGCGGAGGGTTGCTGTGAGTCAGGGCAGACAGCTCTTTGCCTCTTGTCAGGAGCTTGAAGGCTCCAGAGGCCACTCCACCAGGAGCCGAGTTCTGGACCTGCCTGTGCTGGGATTCAGCTGTGAGAGGGCGTGCCATCCACGTAGCCATCTGACAAGGCCAGGGCCAGGTGGGCAGGGAGGTACTGTCTGGTGACCCCCCCCCCCCCAGAAGCCCGCAGGAGACCAACTGACCGGCCAGCTGGCCCCTCCCCGGCCCTCCTCCGCCACCCTCTTCCCAGGTGACTGGTTTCCGGCAGGAGCAGAGAGGCCCCAGCCAGAGAAGCTGGGGTGCGGGCGGCTGCCATCACATGCACTGGTCTCCTGCCTCAGGCTGACCCAGGTCATCTGCTCCCGGCCGGCTCTCACCTCCCTCCCTGCCCCGTTCTTGGGCAGAACAGCTTCTGCCCGCTTCTGCCTCTGTCCCTTGTCCACGCCATCTTGTTCTGTGGTCTCTTTCTGTGCTTGGTCATGGCCTCTCCCACGACCCCAGGGTCAACCAGGAGTCAGCTGGCCTGTACTGCCTATCCTGTTGATGACCACTGCCATCTGTGTGCTGGCCTGCTGGGCACATTGGTGCTGAGATCATATGGACTTGTCACAGCTGTCTCTGGAGATTCCTTCATTCCAGTCTAACAGTGAACCCAGTGACACAGGGTTAAATTCACACATGAGCCCGCCCATTGCTCCACGGGCCAGAGAAGAGGTGGTCGGCTTCCCTGCAGGCTCACGGCTTCACCCCGCTGGCTGGTCTGTCCTCCACAGTCCCTGAGCCGGACTCCGCTGCACGGTGGAGGGCTCTGAGAGCCAGGCGTTTGGAAGTCTTGTGCATCTTCCGGGAAACCCGTCTAGAAGGGAGGCAGATGCAGATGCGGGAGTGTTGGCATTAGAGTGGTGGGGACGCGGACGGGGCCGGTCACACCGGCAGACAGCGTGGTGCTGAGTGCTCCGCCGGCTCCTTTCTGGACTTGGACTGGGGAGCTTCAGGAACTTTCCAAATCTTTGCACAGAGTGAGTGCTTCCAGCCCCGGCTGGGAAAGAGAAGAGCTGGGGGTGGGGGTAATTGCACGTGGTCGTGATGCGCGGGGCTCGAGGTGAGGACCGCCAGGGCAGTGTCTGTGTGTGCACCTGTCAGGGAGCAGAGGCCGTGCGGGAGCGGAGGCTGGAGGCCCAGGAGGAGCCCTGCTCTCTGAGAAGGTGTCTGAGTAGCGCCCTGGGGGGACTCTTGCTGTCACTGCTGAGGTCCCAGTGAATGCAGGACTGGGGACCACGGAGCTCTCTCAGGCTGAAGGCTCCTGTGGGAAGTCACACCTTTCACTCCTTCCTCAGCAGAAGTCTGAATGGAAATGCCCACAGGACCTCCAGTCCATTCTGAGCAGGACCCTGGGAGGCCTGGACGGCTCTGAGGACGCTGGTGGTCTCACTCCTGAGGGAAGTTGCTGTGCAGAAGGCCCGAGGGCTGTGCCACCAGGCTTCTGAGACCACCAGCCCAGGTCCTTGAGCGTCAGAGGACGTCATAGGCCGTGTGTCAGGCAGAGCGGCGCATGACATCACAGCAGGCAGGCAACAGAGCAGGTTGACGGCGCTGGGCTCTGCAGAGGACATAGGATGGCGCGGTGGACAGTACTGGGCTTTGTGATGCATGGCTTGGCCCCACAGTAGATAGAACAAGTGGACAGTGCTGGACAGAGCCTGAGTTCTGACTGTGTTGTCCAGCCTGTCAGAGACGGGTTTTGTGTCAGTGGAGAGGCCTGAGGAAAGTCCCATCACCCCCTTTACTTGACCATGGAGCCGTGGAAGGAGGAGGGTTTCATCTGTCTCACAGTCTGACCAGTGTGTGGCGGGCCGTGCGTCACGTCCTTCGTGTGTATCCCAGCCTCTGTGTGGATGCAGCTCCCAGCTGACCAGGCTGCCTGGCTTGAGTGGCCTGTCACTGGCCATCTGCCTGGACAACCACACTCCTGTCCAACCCACTCACGGGGTGTCGGGGACAGTGTCCACTGAGGGTGGCCCCTTGGGAGCCCATGCTGTGTGCATCAGTGTCTCTGTGCTCTGAGGGCAAGCCTGTGGCCCTGTCACGCGTGGTCAGCTTGCTGGCAGTGGACACAGGCCCTCCACTTGTGAGGGATGGTGGCCTGGGCCGGGGCCTGGGCATAGACATGCTAAGAAACGAGCTCCATCGTCTCCTGAGTTGTGTTAAAAAAATTCCCCCAATTGACCTCATATTCACTTTAAAATGTAAGATGATTATGCAAGTGTGATAGCACTGTAGTACTGAAGGTTTTAATTTAGCGTTTCGAAACGTTCCAGTGGAGAATGTGGCAGCCTGCCCAGGCCGGCCATGGGGTTCCGATTAGCACGTGATGGCTGCGTGGCTGTGTCCACAACAGGCGTGTCCACCGCCTTGGCCAGGATGCCTGGTGTGTGGTGGGCCTGTGGGCTGGGCGGGCCTGGGGCCGGCCTCGGGTGTGTTTCTGCTCACAAGATAGGTTTAAGGTGGGATGCACCACCCTCGGTCACAGCCCAGGTCCAGTGCCAGGGTGCTTCCCAAGGCGGTGGCTCTCGCTGTCTTCATCTTTGAAGAGGATAAAGGCGAGTGAGTGCAGAGGCTTCTCTCAGGAGCGAGGAGAAGGGAGGGGGTCATCCTGTGGACCCAGGGTCCCTGCGCTGAGAACTTCCTGAACCTGGACAAAGACTGAGTTCACGCGGAAACCCGAGGGACGTGGGCCTGGCCCAGAGCTGGTGCCCCAAGCCGCCCTGGATGTAGTCTGCCTCACGCGAGAGCAGGCGTCTGTGTGTCACAACCCTGCGGAGCTCTGTTACTGCGGCGCCGGAGAGCTGGGGTCCCCCCTCAGGAAGGCAGTGTGAGAGCAGCAGGAGAGCTGGGGGCTTAGGACGAAGCCGGCCAGCTCCCGTCCTTGCTGGCTGTGCGGAGGCCACGTCACGGCCGTCCACCCGACGGCCAGGCTCTTAGTGCTTGCTTGTGGACATGGGGACCCACTCGGTGGGCGTTCTGGTGGGTCACAGGGCCTTCCTGGCATGTGCTCTGCCGCATCCTGAGGCCCCACACGGGTTCAGCGTTGTCTACTGCAGAGTGGACAAGCATGTGAGGGGCCAGGCAGCCAGGGCAGAAGGTCCCCCTCCCCCGAGAGGGACACTGAGTCAGGCTTGAGAGGACGAGCCTGGGCTGGGGTGAGCACGTGACGGTGTGGGAGCACCGTGCAGCGACATGCTTGTGACACCAGGTGTGTGATGTGTGCACGTGCGGGCACTCCCGAGCCGCCTGTTCAGGTGTGTGTGGGGGGCCGCTGGGCAGAGCAGCAGTGTCGCGTGGTCAGAGGGTGGCAGCACAGCGTGGTCCCACGTGCTGCTGGTCAAGGCTCAGGGGTTCCTCGTGAGGAGGGTCGCCACCCCAGCTCTGACTCCGGCACCCTCTTCCCTGGCTCAGGGCTGGCAGTGGACGGGCTGCTCAGTGAGGGTGCAGGGGCCAGGGGCCGGGGCGGAGCTTAGTTTGTGGCACCAGCATCCAGCTGAAGGAACAGGTGGCAGTGTGGGGTGAGTGTGGGGGTGCTTCTGAGACCGCAGCAGGACTGGGGCGGGGCACACATCAGCACCCTGACCACCATGGTATGTCAGTCCCCGCAGCCATGGGAGTTGCAGGCATGATGGTTCAGCCTGACGTGGACTTGGGGCTGGGAGGTGAACGATTGGCGGGCTGCTTTAGAGAGATAACCTGGCAACTCAGAGACTTTGGGGTGACATGGGGTCCAGTAGTTAGAGTCCCTGCCTGCTTGTGGGATGGTGTGCTTTGGAGGGGGCTGTCTGCTGGGATAGGGGACAGCCCTGACTGCGTGAAGTGAGGTTCTCTGCCGAGATGGGGGGACAGCTCTGACACTACGTGAAATGAGGCCACCTGCTGAAGGCTCGGCTGGGCTCAGACGGCCAATTGTTGGCCTGGCCACTGTGTGGGCTTTGTCTTATCCTTGTCACAGACCATGTGGTCACTCTCAGTCCATGTCCCTGGAGGACTCTGTGCCCCCCACGCCCTATGTTGAGGAGAAGATAAAGCTCTCACAGTGGGTCCTGAGCCTGGCTCTCGACTCCCTGGCATCTGTCTGCCCGAGTGATGGTCCACACAGTCGGGGGTTCTTGAACAGCATGACCAGGTCAGGGACTCCAGGATAGGCCAGAGTCTGCCCTGGCCGAGGGCAGACCCTGCAGCCATGCCTGCCATGTTGTCCTGCTGTGTAACCCTGCTCATCTGCCGGCCACTGGTGCGTACCCAGCAGCACCCTGTCCCAGGGCAGCACTACCGGCTGGCCCAGCCTGGACGCTGGCCTCCTGGCTGACAGTTAGGTCGCACACTTCATGTGGGACCATCTACCAGCCGCTCCTGAAAGAGGCTCAAGACACAGAGCTATCTGGCCCCTGCCTCCAGTGGGGTGAGCGGGACTCCCGCCTCAGGACGGGAAGGTTGGAGGGTTTCTCTCTGACTCCTGAAGCACATATTGCCCTGGTCGTCTTCCCACACTGTCCTCCGCAGGCCCGCCTGTCCCCAAGCTGACCCCTG